AAAACCTTTTCGTCGACGGGTTGACGGAGCATCTCAAGATCATATTGTAGCAAAGTTTTCTGATGCCTTGCACCGACCCATCTTAGGTAAACGATTTACCTCCGGCACGAATAACCTTCCGAATATCCACAGAATTCCTGACCAGCAAATATGCTTAAATAAGAGTGACCTCAAAATTGGCCAACTACATCCTTCCTGGGCAGCTAAGCTCGGCGAAAAAGCAAGGTTGAAGAAGCTTCTGAACAACAAGGTCTCAAGTGGATTTAGCCTTGCAAAGCATACAATCTTCCCCGAGTAAAGGGTGTTTAAATGCTGCGCATGAATATTTATGTCCATTTTCTTTTCTTTTTTTTCCAACTCGCGCATGTCATACATCCGTATGTGTGCTAGACCGCGCCAAACAATCGTTACGAGGCACAGAATATCGATACTATTACTTTTCAACTAGGCCTTTTGTATCTGCTTTAATTTCGCCCCTGGCTTATTTGGCCTGATGGTGGCTTTAGTACCCATAACCCAATATCTTTTCTGCATCGACCTATTGGCTATCAGTAATAGGGCGCGCATATGCGCAATACCATACGTCACGTCCATTCTTATCTGTACAAATGTGATCAGTCGTTTTAATTTATTTCTAGTGAAACAAGTCAATTTGAAGAGCCACCTTTCTGTCGTTTTATTTACTAACTTCATAACTTATTTCACTCCCTTCGTCATTGCTAAACCTCAAGCAATCTTGCTCTCACAGTCTCCAACTCCAAATTTACTTCTTTAGGCAATTATCCCATTTTCATGATGCGTGCAATTCCCTTGATTGGGATCCTAATAAATCAGCGCTTTACATCATGATTCAGCCTAGAATTTGTATTACACTCAGCAATCAACTATTGATCTGAAGTTCTTCTTTAATTTACTCAGTCCCCTATGTCCAGGCTTCTCAAATAGCTAACCGGATGTCACCCTAACCTGAAAAATTAAACGAATGATGATGGAGCAGTACCTCCATCTGGGCTGCCAATCAATAATGATGCAAGTCCACATTTTTATATGTTTGACCTTGTCCAAAGTATGCATGGTAATTTCCGGATTCGGGTTGTGGACGCGGTGCATTCCCAGACGTTTCGCTGGCATACCCCCTATGCATTGCCATTCCTAGTACCACACTACTTCCAGTTGAAGAGATAAGCGAAGCCGATCTTTTGGCCAATTGTCAGCTAAGCAATCATAATATCTCTCCTTCCGCTCTAGGCTAACCACCAATCCCATTTCCCCATCACAATTTTTTGTCTGCTTATTTAAATGTGTTATGGCGTTCCCTCAGTGAATTTCATGAGAACTTTCGACATCCCACGCTGGCTTTCTCACCCCCTCCACTCCTCTGCTAGGAATTTTGATCAGTCTGTCATGTTGTTAGGTAGTCCTCCATTAGATCTTATCGGGGTCTCTTGTCTTGTAGGATCCGTCTGCTATCTCCCTGGTTCACGTATTTCACTCGCCACCCTATCTGTGCTGCTCGAGGCATTATTTCCCGCACTCTGCCACCGAGAGTGAATTAAGGCAAAAGTAATTAATATGGACACGCCCTTGCTTCATGAACCATGTCCATGATTAAGCACCTGTACTGTTAGTCAACTAGCCGCCTCTTCCGTTCGCAGCGCCAAGTCTGTGACTTCCTATGCCCCAGTCTCTTCTGTACCAACTCGCAAATGCCGCGGTTCTACTTGTTTTAATTAGGTCATACGAAGAGTTGCTCCCCATCTTATATGTAGTTGTGAAGTCTCACTGAAAATCTGTCTATCTAGGGATTAGACGATAGCATTATAAGGACTCTGGCACCGTCCAGGACTTCGTACGGCCCCCAAGTGTTTCACTTCCTCCTCTTTAATAATATTCTAAATTAGTTGTCAGATAGTCCTTGAGGATAATTGTTTCAAAACAGAATTCCCCTCAGTCGTCTAAATTCCTGGGACCATCGTCGATAAGGTGCGGGCTCGTTACAGGACTCGATAGTTTCAGGGGTATCGCATGCACTCGTGCTGTGACGCAAATCTCTCGACACTATAGGATAACAAGTCCGAGCGACCTAGGGAAGGTTTCGCTGTTCGGCGGGTGAGACAACCAAATTGAAAACAGACCTAAATGCAAGGCTATGGGAATCCAGCCTATCTCAATCTGGAAGTTAAATTCGATTAAAATCGATTCCTGTCCCCCGCGTGTAAACGCTGACCCGATTTAACAGTAGCAGGAAGCAACAAGCAGTCTTCGATGTTCTCAGTGCTAGGGGCAGAGGTGAGTAAATAAATTTATTCATTATGGAAGAACGAGGTGTTCGAATAACTAGGCCAGGTTTAATGGCAATTTTGATAGTAAATGGATAGATCGTTGCAATCATCGAAAAAATGATTTCCAAGTACGCAGACAGTAGGCTAGAGGCCTACGAAATTGTCCTGACTCGAGTGTTAAATTATGGATACATCTGTGAAAAAATGCTGTGTTCTGCTATATGCAGTAGGAACGGTTCTGAGCTAAAAGAACACACAGATGACCAGTAAGAGTTAGGAAGAAGTGTCAATTGCCAGTAAAAATTGGGATTGAGCATTAGGTTACCAACATGAATGTAGAAAAAACAAGATCAGGAAATGAAGACCTATAAAGTAGACATTAGTCTTTTAAAGAATGGGCTAAGTCGTTGCCAGGAGAGGCGTTGCTAGGCGTTGGCAGTGCCCTTTTCTGCAGCCTTTTCTTTATGCGAGTTGAAGTATATTAGCATCTTCTTGATCTCCCCGATCGCAAGTCCCGGATTCAAACCCTTCGGACATGTTTCTGTGCAGTTCATGATTGTATGGCAACGGTATACAGAGTACTTATTCTGCATTTGACTAAGTCGTTCATAAGTGTAATCATCTCGGGAATCGATCATCCATCTATAAGGAAATAACAATTATGATATTTAGAAAACGGTGCCAATATAATGTGCACGCATAAACACATCAAGAAGTGAGTTGGGACCTATTCTTCAAGGTAAAAATAATCATTTGGAAAAGCTTGGAGTGGATATATAAGTGGTTTAATATTCGTGGCCAAGACCGCATATAAGGTACTCCCCTATAAATATTGCGTGTGCATTTCGATTCTTGGAGAATATATAATCAAAACAGAACACGTCCATGAAAAACAGACAGAATAAGCGTATATGTAATGAAATGTACCTGTAGGCTTGCATTAGGACAGCAGGTCCTAGATACTTGTCACCATTCCACCAATAAGATGGACAAGAAGTGGAGCAACAGGCGCAGAGTATACACTCGTAAAGGCCATCGAGCTTTTCCCTATCCTTAACTGACTGGAGGAAAGCCTCTTTCCCAATATTGGCCTCTGCGTCTGGATCCCTCTTTTTGAGGTAGGGTTCTATCCAGCGATATTGGGCATAAAAATTGGCCATGTCAGTAACAAGATCCTTAATGACATACATGTTCGGTAGAGGATAAATTTTTGTTTTCTTGTTGATTTTTTTATCGATTTCACTACAAAGCAAAATGGTAGTTCAGGATCTTAGATAAAATTGGAAAATATTGTGGACAGAATGACTGAAAAAAAAATCAATGTTTTACCATATACATGCTAGAGTATTTTTCCCCCCGATATTCATTGAACAAGAGCCACAGATGCCCTCACGGCAAGAGCGCCGAAACGTCAGAGTTGGATCCTGTTCGTTCTTAATTTTAATTAGGGCATCGAGGACCATTGGCCCGCAGTCTTTAAGATCAACTTTATATTCTTGCATGCGAGGCTTCTCGCCAGGCTCATCTGGATTCTGAAACACCATTTAAAAGTAGTAAATTAACATTAAACAGGTTATCAATGGACTGACGATGATATAGCTATTAACATAGCGTAGAGAAACTTTTAAATATCTGGCCTCAAAAGTCCGAGAAATAAGATTTTATTCTAATGCAAGCAATTAGTCACTTATAGATAACTAAAATCAACGAATTAAGATTTGATTGAAGGGTTAACTAATAAGTATGGAAATAACATCCACGATAAGATACATGAACGAAGTGTTATGCAAAACCACTCATACCCATCGGTAGATAGAAAATGTTTTGAGAGCCGTGGAGTCTGCAATGCTTGAAGCTCTTCTAAGCTATATTTATATGTTATTCTAGCACATCGAACATACCCCAAGATGAAGGAAGTCGAAACCCCCGGAGAGAGATCTAAGCGAATGCATCATGTTGAAGGAACGAAGAGGGGAAGATAGGAGGGGTGAGGGCAGACTTGGGGACGAAATCAAGAAGACAGCTCACTAAAATGTAGTCCCGCAAGGTAATATTTTTATTTTATTCTTTTTGAACGAATAATGTTAACTATTTTAATTAATACATTTAGGTTCGTAAATCAGGATTTGTAGAAATTTATTTGCTTGGCATTCAATGATGACATACAAGCAAGAGCACTGACAAGGAATCTATTTCAGTTCTCACGAATCGTCTTGGAATTCTTTATAACCAGACTGATGATTTAATTATGAAAATTTGATAATCTTTAAGTTCTTTCTTTAATATGCAAGTTACTGGTATTCAAATAATATTTTCTTACATTCTTTAGCCCTTATCCAAAATTATCGTTGTATAATTATTGTGAGTATAATTAGAAAACCAGTGTTTTTATTAAATTAAAGTTAGTAATGATGCTAATGTGGATACTTGATCATATTGTATTGTTCTAAATGAATCCACACTTTCTTTCTTAAATATAGAGTATAGCCATGACTATGCGATAAGCGTTAACCCCATGTTGTTCCAAATCTACTTAGTGGTAAGTCAAGTGTAATAATCTCGGGAATTGATCATCCATCTATAAGGAAATAACAACAATGATTGACTCCAGGGTCCTAACTAGATTTATTTATAATCTAGCCTCTTCTAATTACACTTAGGTTCCTCCCACTAGGTATATTAATCATTTTGTAATGTGTATTGCCATTTTCCCAGCCATCAATCGTTCTTTTTAGGATATTAGTATCTGGTTTAGGTTTAAATGACCTCCCAAACTTATATTTAGTTATATTCATACAGAATGGTCTAAAACCCAACGTCTGGGAGTATATGGAGAAGTTACACCTAGTAAGAAGGCCAATAAAACAAATGACATTCTTACGAGAATAGTAAATTGTGTGAAGGCTACCTCTGGTAATAGCATATAATTGTAGAGGACATGGTGAATAAACTCCATAGAAATGGTGTGGGCCTGATTAATCATAAAATTGGTTAAAGCCTAAAGTTTCACTTCATTTTTGAGCTTTGTGTACACTCAAAATATAAGCCTCCACATACCAGATAATGAAAAACTAGAGCAGAAAAAAACGTCATGTGAGTTTTGTAGGGAAGCAGATCTCCAATCAACGTCGGAATTAACTTCACTGATTTGCAGGTACGAAGAATAATCATAAAGTAGCTTCTAAATCATCAGATCAATTTGCAAGATGGCGAACATAGGTTTTAGGTGGGGAAAACTTGAAGATGTTTCTTTTTCATATTTTGGGGATGTAACTTTGAAAATAGCATACTTTTTATCAAGTTTTACGCATAACACTATCTCAATATTACTGTTATCCCTACTAATAATGATAAGTTTAATACCATAATCAATTAATCATATATTGGTATTGGAATATAAGCCAAAAGGCTTATCAAAATAAAGCCAAGGACTCCAATTCATATAATAATCTGTCCAGGATTTAACTTGGCTAAATTTTTAACAAAATTCGTATTGAAAATTAACATTCCCTGGGCAAATACTCATAGCCAGTCAAGCATGTTGATTAAATAATGGAATTTAAGTCAGAAAAAGATTTTGAATCCATGTTTACTCTTTGATTATTAAAAGTTTCGGTGATCCGAAACAAATACGGTACTCTGACTCTATTCCAGATGGATTATGATTTAATGTTGAATCACTAAGGTTCTAGCAGCATAATTTTATTTTCTATATGGTTTTTTCGGAGCGTGCTTTCTCCAAAGGAGAGACTCTTCGGATGTATTGTAATGGAAGGAGCGCAACCTAGGTCTAATGGCAAATGCATACTTCAGCTATGATATACAA